AGCCACCCATGCCTTCCTCTGTGGTTGCTGCTAAGTTTATTGAATTATTTCATATTTTCTAATAGTGATGAAAGTCTTGCACATTTTATCAGTTTTTAGGCTAGATCTTTATGTTGCTGACAAATAATTTCCTGGAAAGCAATAATATGTTTTGAGTTATATGTGGAATATCTTAACCTTAGTTAGCAATCATTTCTGCATCTTAGTAATTAAATAGTAACATGCAGGCTATTACGTCAATGTGTGTGTGCTTGTAAAAACCCTTTTGGCAGAATCATATATGAACAAGTTATTATTTATTAACCATATTTCTATCCTGTCACAATCTAGAAATTTAGCAGTTTACATAAAATAAAATGTTTATACTTTAGTTTGATTGAGAAGTGCCTGACAAAAGTCTTCCATTACATAGTTTGTTTTCTAGCTGATTCTTATACATTTTTTATTCCAATGTTTTGCTTCTTTGCAGATCAAAGCTTTTGATAATATACACTTCCAGGGATCATATATTGATTTTACAACAGAAGCTGCTAATTTTACATCATTCATGCCACTCTCATTTAAGGTTTTACGGGGATGGTGAGCTGATTTATGCATACTTTTTAAAGCATTTTGGAAAACTATTTCAATCTGTTTCTGTGATTTAGTTCTTATACATTTTAAACTGTTTTGAAGTATTTCTCTCTTACAATAGAGAACCGATAAGTATCTTGCATGTAGTCAAATTTATACCATATTTAAGAAGCAGATTGTGTAGTAGTCTTATATATGACTACAAACCCTGAGCCTTATACATCATAATGAGGCCTGATGTAACACATAATGTGGTCAGACAAATTGTTAGGCATAACAGAATTCAGTGTTGCCACCATTAGTGCCTTCCACCCAAACACTGAATTATATGGTTGATTATATGTCAGTGTATTCTTCACCATTGTAACTGAATCCATCCATCTTGCTGCTTCTCTCTTTCATCTTTGCCAACATTATGGACTTAACAAGGAAGATGGGTTTTTACATAAGGTCTCTAAAATTAAGCCTGGTCACTTGTGCCTTTTGTTTTCTTAGCTATCCATATAATATTCTCAGGAATCTTCAACACAAAAGTTCAGAAATGTCAGTAGGCTTTCTGTCTTATTTCTTCAAAGTCCAACTTTCACTTCCATAGGCTGTTAGAAGAAAAATCATTACTGAGACAATTCTGATCTTAATAGGGATACATCATAGCATTTGAATATCTTTTCTAAGATTTTCATTGCTATCCTACAAAGTGCTAGTCTGTAAAATATTTATTGATTTCTGGTTCCTTTATTGTTGATAGCTGGTCTTAAAAAGCGGAAGCTATTTTGATATTTTTGATATTTTCATTGTCATTTCTAAGGCTGTTGTATCAGTTGTCATTAGCTCCCTTTTCTTTATATTTAATCATTTTTTCATTGTGCTTCTTTATATGCTAAACTTGCAGATAATTTGCATTTTCAGAATGGTGTCTTCAACAAAGGTGATGTTTCTTCCTTCAATTTAAAAACATCTTCTTTCACTTCAGCTGCCCTCAGTATAGATTCAGCATATAGGTTGAATAAGTAAGGAAACAGTGTATCGCCTTGCTGATCTGAAATGAGTCTTTCATCATGTTCCATCCAGATTGTGGCTTCCTATCCTGTTAGAGATTACACATGATAAGAGTGAGTTATTGTGGAATTGCTATTTCCCCAAGTGCATTACACACCTTGAAGGTTTTTTTTAGAATCAATGAAGCATATATTATTCTTGCTGTTCTTTGGCTTCTTCAGTTATCCAGCTGAATCAGCAATAATGTTTCTCAGCCTTTTCTAAAACCAGCATAATCATCTAAAATCTCTCTTTCCACATAGTGCTGTAAGCTGTGTAAGATGATTATCCTCTTTATTTTACTAGCATGTGAAATAAAAGATACTGTACAATAATTTATACAAACTGTTAAACCTTCTTTCTATAGTATTAGTATGTAGACTGATTTCCTGAAATCTATTGGATGCTATCATTTTCCAGATTTGTTGGCCTAGTTTGCAGTGCAAATTCTTCTTTAGTTGCTTACCATATTTTTTATAAATATTCTAATGGTTTCCGCAACATCTGACCTGGTGAAAACCAGAGTGGCAAGTTAATTTCATTTTCTAGTATTAGACATAATCAAAAAATGTCTTCAAAAGTACCATGGATATTGACATATCTGCCATACACAATTTCTGTATATTCCTTTCACCTTTGTTTGTTGTTTTCAATATCAAATATTGAAACTTCTTTGAACCAATTATGCACCAATAATATAGTTACTGTGTATTCCATCTAGTGGTGACCATAATATAGGCAGTTTTATAGATTTTACATTATTTTGCTTGGATGAAGATTACATTAGCAATAAAGAAATAATTGATTTGTTGGAAACTTCTAAGTTGTTCTGCTTTATTTCTGTTTGCTAGGCCATATAGTTTAACTACTTTTTTCTTCTTAGTGTTTCCAACTTTGGCATTCTACCCTTCAGCCATGAACAGCAACATTTTGCTTGTATATTCTATCAGTTAAGATTTAACTTGATAAAAGTTATCAGTCTTCTTTTTCTATCAGTGGTTGAATCATAAATTTGAATAACTATAGTATTAAAGGATTGCCTGCAAAATCTAATTGATATTATTTAGTCATAGAGTGAGTTATAGCCAAGTATTGCTATAATCCTTCCTGACTTTGAAAGCGCCATTCTTTGTTTTGTGATCTAAGCAGTAAACAAAATGATCTTCTGACTGAAAGTTTCCAATTCTTCCAGTTCAAGTTGTTGATTCCTAAGATTTGTAATATTTTATTTCATCTTTCACTGTGTTGAGCGTCTTAAGTTCCATGCTCCTACTGTAGTTCTATCTTTGCTCTTTAGATTTTCATTTCCTGTATATCAGCATTAGCAACTGGATATCATGAGGGCTTTAATCTAGCCACATGATAAACACCATTAATACTCTTCCTCAGTGGCATGTTGAGGGCCATCCAACTTGAGGGGCACATAATGCAACACTATGTCATCAACCATTTTATATTTTTCATCCAGGTGGGTTTTGTGATAAAATACAAAAGTTGTATATTATTGTCTTCTGCACGTAATAAGTAATTATGCCTGTTCCACCGTCCCTAAAGTGATCCTCTGTCTCTAGCATCTTCTTGTATTGCTGCTGCCCAATATAGGTGGCTGCTTGCCTTAACTAGGCAGCTGGAATAACTTTAATGCCTTAAAGTTGCTGGTAGTATATAGTCTTGGCATATACTCCTAGCATTCTTCCTCATACATTCCAGGGACAACTCTCCCCCCTCCCGACCACCACCAGCTCCACCACCACGCTGGCAACCAGTCACTATGAGACAGCAGAGCAGGCCTTTTTATTTTGGTTTCTTTTTATTCTTTACAACTCAATATACTTTTAGAATGATATTGTGTAAAGAGTTATACAAGGATTTATTACATGGCCATCAGCACAGTAATTCCCTGAAAACTGAATAGGGCCAGATTTGGTACCTCTGAGAAGTTGGCAAACAAAAAGTCAAGGTAAAAAAGAGGCCAGAAAAAATCAAGGATTGCAGAGATAAAGATTCATAACAAATTCTTGAAACATCTCTATGCAGAGGCAGTTGGACAGAATTTTAGAACAAGCTCTATTCTATGCCTACATGGCCTAGAATAAAGTGTATGCAGCCTATCTTGTATTCCCAGTGTACACATATAGATAGCTGCAAGATATTATTTTGTTAAATAGAATAATATTCAGGCGCTTTTTTTGCCATTGTTGGGAAGGGTTATAAGAATTTCCAAAAGTCATGCCCTACATGATTTATCTGCCTTGTTTAAAATGCAAGTTTTCCTGCTTCTAAGGAGTAACCAGTTACAGTGAGAGTGACACAAGTATGTATATGTGCATTTAGACATTTGAGGGTAATTGATTATTTCTTCTGAAGTTATCTGTGTTCAATGTACTGTGACTATCTGCCTAAAGGACTGGATTTAATGCTTTTTTGTGGTCAGCAAGAAATCTATGGAAACTTCAGAAATTGTGGCTAGCCAAGAGCTTCCCTAGTCTAGTATAACAGTTGCAATTATAGTCGCTAGGGCTGCTGCAACTGCTATATTTTTCACTTTCCAGATGCTGTAGAATATTAACACATTTGATATAGATCCTGCTAGATTAATTAATCAGTTGAATTAATTTATAAAATTGCTTGGTATGGGTTGCATGTTAGGCTCCAGAAAACTGAAATCTGACTTTTTAGTCTGAAGATCATTATTGAATGACTTTAATTTAATTAATAATAGCAAACCCTTTAAAAATATAAGTAGTCTGTTAATTGCATTTGAATAACAGCAATTATAAGGACTCCAGTTCACTGCTTTTTGCTAAGTTAAAAGTTCAGATCTAAGGGTAGTCTGACAATTTTTGTGTTTTCAAAGAGCCTATTTGAGATTCTGCAGATAATAATGCAATCGTTAACAACTCTGTCAGTGTCATTGAAATACATAATATTGGATTGCAAGTTTCTGTCAGTGCTAGAGATATGATGATTAATATAGTACTTTCACAACTGCTGCAGAGTTTTCTCTGTTGCATCTCCTAAATGGAAGTAATACCAGAAATAGGGAATTCTAGGAACAAGGCCATTTGAGAAGTTCATCAAGGGCATTTGGAGATGAATGCTATCCATAACCATATTTATTTTTTGTTTCTACACATCAATCCATCAACATGTAGTTGTAATTCATAATAATAAATCTATATTTCTATGCTATGCTATTTTATTTAGTAAAAACCAATACAACTTCATGTGGAATTTTTTTTGTCTTTCAGTTGGTTGCTTTATTATCAGGGAAAAACTGCTGTTGAACAGTGTGTGCTAGAAGAAGATCTCTATCCTGACCTTGCTTCCTGTGGCTGTTCAGCAACTAAAGTCCAGTCCCTTAAGCCTATTGACCATGTAAGAACTTACCAGCTAGCAATATTCAGAAAAGCCTTGTACAGTCCAAAATGTGGTGCCCTCAAAAGAATATAACCAAGCAATTGTGGTTCTGATTTATATATTTTTAATTTTACAAGAGTTGAGCCATACACCTCTAACAAATATTAGTAAGAAGCCACATTTATCCATATAAAGAAACTTTTTATTAAAAGAAAAGCAGTCCAGTAAAGGATTTACACAACTTGACAGAGATGTTATATTGAAATACTATCCATATATAGAGTCACATAGTTGTAGTAAAATTATAAAGGAACTACCTATTTCTTATATGGATAGTTTACTTACTATAAAAGAAATGATAACCACTGGAGCAATATGGACAGATTCATAAATTAAGCTAAACTAGACAGTATAGCTATATAAATTTGGGGTAATTCCCCGTTTTAAAGTGAGGGTAATTAGTAATCAAGAATCATTTAAAATGTTATGAAGCATTTAGCTCAATAAAATTTAATTTACTTAAATTTTATTCTTCTAACATTCTATCAGGAGACTTTATAATAATTTCCATCTTCCAAAATTACTCTCTTAAGAGGTAGATACTATTGTAGGTTTTAGGGAAGATAGATTTGATCCAAAACTTATTTCTTTCCTTTTGCATTCTCTTACAGTCTCTATGTTCTTTTGAAAAGGAATTTCTTCATTTTTAAGGTACCTGTGGAACATATCATGAGCCATAAGAAGTAATAAAATTCCTTTTAGATATTTTAAATTTATGATTGAATCTTGCTTCCTATTGCCCTATCCTGTCCTATTGGGCTTCTCTGCAGTGTCAGGCAGGGCAAGCAGTAGCAAAGCACTGGACTGAGAAGTGCACTATACATCCATGCTAGGTATTTTTCAGACATTATGTACCATTGCATAGAGATATAAGGAAAGGATTAAACTAAGAACTGTTTTTGCTCTGTGCAGCTTTTTGGTACTTTTAGGTGTCAAATAAAAGCATTCTTACAGGAACTTAATCAGATGTTTCCTGTTTTCACTCAACACTATAGCAAGTTCTAAGGAAGTAGGTGAAGTTATCTCCAGGACTGCCTTTCCGTGAGGGCATTTGCTCATTTTCTACATTGGGCAGAATGGGCACACTCCATGTCCCTTCTCTCTCTGGGCTTAGACAGGGTGATATACCTTTTCTGTAGCAGCCCCTGCCCTGTGAAAAACCATTTCCTTTGAGATCCGACAGGCCTCCGCTGTCTTAACATTCCAGAGGGCCGTCAAGAGCTGAGTTTTCCTCAAAGCACTGGTAAAGTAAGATTTGGGCCTGGGGGATTGTATAGCTGGATGAGTGTAGTTGTTGGATTGGGCATTGTTATTCTTGTTTCTTGTATGATATTTATCATTATGTTTTTATTGTTATTAGTTATCCCAAATCTTGTGCCATAAGATGTAAGCTATTTTGCCTCTTCTAACTTTGTAATGTTCCCAGCGTTGAGCTGTCATGGTTCACTTTTTAGTTTCATTTTATCATCCAGCACAAAGAGAAGTAGTTCCAAGCAAAATTTAATTCATCTCCCTCCTAGATATCTTTTTAGAGTGCACTGCTGTGGTAGTGTTCAAGATTAAAATATTAGTTCCCTTGATTCAAATGCTTTAATTTTTCCAACATGAATAGCAAGGGGTGAGTGTCATATTTTTAAAAACTCTTTTTAAAGTATAGATAAATAAAGTATAGATAAATAAAGTGTAGATAAATAATAAGGTGGTGGATGCTGCTAGGGAAAATTATACAACCATTAAAGTTGCCTCAGATTCATGCCCATTCAAGAAGAAAGGAATAATGTGGATATTAACCCTTCAAGGTAGATTAGACTAGGAATCCAATGTAATGTAGGTCAGTGCTATTTTTATTCTAAAGCTTTAATAATAGAATCTTACAAATCTGAATGTGCTTTTCATCCCCCTGTCACTATTTTCTTGAGAACTAGAGAGGGTCTTGTCTGAGATATTTACTCATGTTACTTTCTTACCTCACACTCAGTCCTTTTTTATTTCACCACTGTCTTGGTAGCACCTCTTTCCCCTGTCCCTCAAAGCCATTTACTTGTCTCTCTACAATAGATGAAGGATTTCTGAATTATTCTTTCTTATGATCTTATGTATGGCATACCTGTTCCGTTTTGAAGTTGTTTTTATATTATGTCTCACAAAGCAGAAATTGTTTCCATATAAAGGTACCCAACCTGAGATTCAAAAATCTAGATTGCAGTAGAGTCCGAGACAATTTTCTTGGGTTGTCTGATGTTTGCATAACAGATCTGCAAAATCTGTTACACAAGTAGGAAATAGCAGCCCAGAGAAATAATTCTAGAAGATAAAAACAAGTTATTTTCACCATGTAATATCTATTTTTATGAAGAAGAATCTAAGAAGTATTCTTTTAAAATCTTTCAAGCTTCTTCTGACTTTCTGATAGATTGTTTGCAAAATCTCTAGCATTTGTAACAATAAGAACAAAATTACATGGTGTTACAAAATTATTTTGTTATGTTCAACATTCCATGGTTACAAAATGGATAAGGCATTATAAACTTACTCATAATAATGGACAATATATAATATGAGTAAAACAATGTCATACTTTCAGAATAAAGGATAGCTGAAATGTTGCTGAACAAGACACACATTAACTTTTCTGCTGTGTTAGCAGATAATTACAACTGTGAAAAAGTGTGAAAATGCTTTCCTTGGTTTTCACGATTGTACATTAATATTGTCTATTGTATTTTAAAATATTTTGAATTTTTTTAACTTTCACAAATTAATAAGTTAATTTGCCTTATATCATCCCTTGTGTATACATAGGGCATCTACTTTGGAAAGCATAGATAAAAGGGGATAATAATGATCACTTTGAAAAATTAGGTTTTTTACAGGTTGTCCTCATCTAGTGACTGCAATTGGGACCTCGTGTTACAAGGAATTCACATTACTTAATTATTTCTGTGATTACAGCCAACTTTTAATTAGTTTGGCTTATCTACTGTTGGTATGAAGATGTTTTGGCTCCATATCTACTTGGATGCCAGTTCCCACAACTCTCTGCCTTCATAGCTGATTTTAAGAGTTGAAATTCAACATCTGACTATTATATATTCCCTGTCTTTAAATCTATTGGATCTGAGATAATTTTCCTTGGAGAATTGTTTTTTTTAATTCAATTTTCTTCTACTAAACAATGTAATTAATTAGGACATGCATGTACTGAATTACTTCAGAAGATTAGGGTCTTTGTCCCACCTTTGTATTTTTTAAAGACACTATAGAGATAGATGTATGAAAGTACATTTTGTAAGATTTCAAGATCAGCAACTAGAATAACTTTTTATCTGTATCTGTTTATCACTTACAATAAATTGCCTAGACCTAGTTGATTAGGGAACAAATAATATTAAATAGGTGAGTAGATTAGTACTGATTTTAGTTACCATGATTGATGCTAATTTTGGTTTATTGATTAAAATTTCAGAAATATAATGAAGCCAAAGTTATTTTCTAAATAAGCATCTCCAAACCAAGGAAAAGCTTCATCACAGATGAAGAGCCAAAGAAAATCTAAATATAACTAACCAACGCAGTATTAATCTTTTTTTTTCTTACAGGTTTTTGCTGAGCCATTGATCAGCCTTTTTGCACTGGAGAATTGTGAAGGCAAAGAGATGCACTTGCAAGAAGCTACCAATTCAATTCTGAATAAAGATTTTCACTTTCTTACTCAGTCAATATGGGTAAAAAGTGGCATGTAAGTATGATAATGATAAGATAAAGTACTGAGAGTTTTATTTCTTTGCTCACTGTGGAAAAATCACATACTCACATAGGTAAATATATTTACTTACTTTTTATTTAAAACATTTATATAGCTTTCCATCTTATATCCAATCTAGATGGCTCTCAACCAACAATTTAAATAACATATTAAAACAACATATATACATCCATTTAAACCATCCACAATACATACATCCATTAAAAACCTGGCACCAAAGTTAAGCTTCCACATGCAATCCATTGTTGAATCCTCTCATCTACCTCACTCTATCCCAACACTTAGAGGAAAAACAAGGTCTTAAGTGCTTTGAGAACTAGTCCTCAATTTATAATAACAATTCAGCCCAAAATTTCTATTGTTAAGCGAGACATTTGTCAAGTGAATTTTGCCCCATCTTATGACCTTTCTTGCCACAGTAAGTGAATCACTGCAGTTGTTAAGTTAGTAACATTTAAGTGAATCTGGCTTCCCCATTGATTTTGCTTGTCAGAAAGTCACAGAAATGGATCACATGACCTCGGGACACTGCAACCATCATACATATATATGAACCTGCTGCCAAGAGTCTGAATTTTGATCATGTGACCAAGGGAATACTGCAACTCATAAATGTGAAAAACAGTTATAAATCACTTTTTTTCAATGCCATTGTAACTTTGGTCACTAAACGAATGACTCTAAGTTGAGGACTACCTGTAACTAGAAAAATAAAACTTTCGCATTGTGTATGAATTTTTTCCGTAATAAAATATGAACATAAGCTAGAATGTTTAAATTGTTTTCTTTTCTGTTTCTGGAACTCAGCATACTGTACTTAATGTATATTCCATTTTGAAACAGATGGATTGCTTATGAAGGATGCAATTTCTTGGGGAAACAGTTTCTTCTTGAATCAAGCAAGATTTCAAACTGGACACAGTTTAGTGGATGGAAAACAATTGGCTCTCTTCGTCCCATAAAGCAGGTACTAGCGCAAAAGTGATTTTTCCCCCCCCTAAATCTGAATTTGAGATTTTTGGATGACAGCCCCTGAAAATTGGTAAAGTGAGTTCTTGCGATTTTAAGGCTAAAAATATACAGATCTATCTACAAAGCCTAACATTAGCATTTTATGTACACTTGGAAGCATGAAATTAAATAAAAGTTTCAGTACTGTTCAGGAGTAGTAGTAGTAGTACTATGATTAAATATGGACTATATTAAAGTACAGATTGATTGATATATAACAAGAGTTTAGTATCTATTTCATAAATATTATAGTAGAAAACCATAATTACAGGTTTCAATCAGCAAAACAGTATGACTCCATATTCTTCTTTCCACAAATTTTTCCCACAAGTGTACAGTCCTTTTTTTTTCCAGACCAAGCAACTATTAACACATTGGTTGTGACAGGAATTGATCAACTAGCTTGTTATCTAAATCAGACATTATGAACTGAAAAAATGTGACTGATCCAGTTACCTGGCCAGCTTTCTTGCCTTAGACAGGAATAGAACTCACGTTTCCCGCTTTCTAACCTGGTGCCTTAACCACTATGCCAAATTACTTCTCTAATTTAATCCAATATCACTCTTATGAAATTTGAATATGAATCTACAAATAGTCTTTAACTTGAGACAACTGGGACCAGAAAATTTGTCATTAAGCAACATGGACATCACCTGACCACACCTAATTTTATGGTCCTATTTGCTGCAGTTGTTAAGTGAAAAATCATATGCTTACAATTTGCTACCTTCTCTGCCAGATTCCCCATTGGCTTTGCTTGTTGGAGGCTAGCTGGGAAGGTGTGTGATCAAATCCGCAGGATACTGCAACCACTGTAAATGTGAACTGGTTGCTAAGCATCCAAATTGTGATGCTATGACTGCAGTGATAATGTAACAGTTGTAACTTTGAGGACAGGTCATAAATCATTTTTTTCAGCACTGTCATAACTTCAAACAAATTAAACCTATCATTGTAAATCAAGGACTATCTGTACTATTAGAGGAAAAGGTTCTGTCTATACAAGTTTTATCACATGGATTCATGCTTCTTCATGAAGTATTAGTTAATTATACTTTTCGATTTCAGCCAGCAGTATATTTCAAAATAAAGAACAGATCTCAAGAAAAATACTTGACAGTTGCTGGCACTTTAATGGACGGAAGAACTTTGTCAGTATGTTTGTTCCCACAAAATGGCAAGAATACTCAGATTTGGCATTACAGTCGTGGACTCATCAAGTCCAAGGTAATTTCTTTACTTATCAAATTTATATAGCTGCCCATCTCAACTTCTAAGCAGCAGACAAATTACAAAAAGAGCAGGGTGATTAATTGATTTTCGTCCCCTCCTTATTTACTAGCTTCTTATCTATTGAATGTTTTAAACCCATGTTTCATTGCACTTACAGTCTGCTATGACTTTTAACTGCAAGTCCTTTAGGATAAAAATGGGCCATATTTTAAAAGCAAATGAAAGAAATCTTTAGAGAGTTTATAATAACTTCCATGGAATACCAAATTATTTCACTTCTAAGAGTTTCAGAAATATTCATTCTGAATGTGATCATCATTATAATGGATATATTTCTAGATTAAAAAGTTCCCTAAATTGTTGGTATTTTTTCAAAATGAGAATTTGCTTATCTATAATTCCCTACCAGCAGGTCAATCTGACGTGAAAGCAGATTTGAAGCAATTTCAAGAACCTATTACATGTACTTATTCTTTTTATATATTCCAGGAATATTTATCTGTTAGATCTATATCCTACAAATAATACACAACTCACTGTCCTCTAATGTTTCTTCACAACTATTATGAGAATTTGCTGTGAGGTAGAGACCCAAAGGTAGACTTGAATCTCATTTCACCACTCTTAGTCCAACACTTTCACCTCTCTAAAAATCTATAATCAGTTCTACTATACACACAAATTCCATTATTTCAAAGGTAAATTAGATAAATTATTAGGAATTCTGAATGTGTTTAGACTCTTAAAAAATACAATAGGAATTGTTATTTATGTACCAAATCAAATTTCTGCCTATCCTTTGCTGCTACACAAATTGAATATTCTTTCACAAACTGTCTAAAATTATTGTTGCAGGATCCAAATTATTGTTGCTGTCATTTGTGAAAATTATTGTTCTTGTAATTGGAGTATGAAGGGTAAATTATGTTTTTGAAAATAAATATTTTTTTTAATTTCTGGCATAATTTATACATAACTCTTAATACAACTAGTCAAATTTAGACCACTGATAGAAGTTTATGTATAATTAAGCCTTTTAAGGCAATAAGAAAATTCTTTTTTTTTTCTTTACTTGTCTAGATCAATGATGCTTGCCTTGATGTCATTGGAGGCAGGGATATACCTGGAGCAAAAGTTGCACTGTGGGCAGAACATGGAAAACCAAGACAGAAATGGACACTCAATAAAGATGGAACCATCACATCTTATCTCAGTGATCAGCTTGTTCTTGATATCAAAGGTAGTAGCATAGAAAAACTACACACCTGTTAAAATGCCAGATTTTTGAGATGTAAAAAAAAATCAGACCAAGATAAATCACTTCAGAATTCTTTCCCCCTTAAAATAATATACAAGCTGCATAACTCAATTGAAAAACAAACTGAAATATTTTAGAAAAAATAATAAAAACTGCATAATTGTTCACATCCTCTTATAAGTAGGGATGTGGATGTGTTCATAATCACATTCAAACTGATGTTAAATAGGAGTACCTGCTATCAATTGAAGTCTGATCAAACTCATATAAAGTTCAGCTGTTCTAGCAGGATTTTTTGTAATTCACTCAGTTGCCTCTTACATCAAAATTTATGGTCTGCAAAGAGCTTACAGGGAAATATCTCTGTTGGAAGGTATCAGTCAGGATAAGGGTACACACAATTTTCCAAGGCACTGCAAGTGAAGAAAATATGGCATAACACGAACATTATCAAGAACTGGATGTTCCTTCAAAATTGATAAAAAACAAAGCAGAAACTGGTTGAAAGCTGCCAAGAGGTTTACAGCAACATTAAATTGGCTAGTGCTATATCATCTTAACCCATTCAAATATATTGCAATTTCAAGATAACTGCATTAAGAGCCGAGGTGGCGCAGCAGTTAGAGTGCAGTACTGCAGGCCACTTTAGCTGACTCTGTTCAGCAGGTCAGCAGTTCAAATCTCACCGGCTCAAGGTTGACTCAGCCTTCCATACTTCTGGGGTAGGTAAAATGAGGACCCAGATTGTTGGGGGCAATGTAAATATATATATACATTGCTTACTGGTGTACACCGCTTAGAGAGTGCTTGCACTTAAAGCGGTATATAAGTCTCCTAAATAAATAAATAAATAAACTGCATTCATAAAAGAAACTTTACATCAAATGCTTGTCAAGGTGGGAAGATATTCAATGCAGCTTAGAAAAGGGAAAGGTATGTAAAAACAAAAACAATGTCATTCAAATCCTGAAATTCTGTTATGGTTAATTGATTTCTCTTGCCTACCCTCCTGTTTCTGAAGTAGTGTTTCTTTTCTTTAGAGCTGAAAAGAACCTAAAGTGATAATTTTGTAACATTTTTAAGGTACAGTATTTTAAAGGATAAAGTAAGTAATTTATTTCTTAAACTTCTCTTATAGGAGGAGATTACTATGACAGAAACCACATTATTGTAAATCAACTTAACATCAGTGAATGTACACAGAAATGGGACTTTGAAATATTATGAATGGATGTTCTCAAGATAAACTAATTTGGAAATATGTATTAAATTGTCTGAAAATACTTGAACTTCTGAAGACCCTTAGTATCGGTGTATGTTAAAGATCTGCCCAAGACTGCCAAAGAATAAAAAACAGCTTATTTAAATTTAACCAAACTGTTAATTTTCTACTTTCAATAGTATTGTTATTCGTAAAATATTGCAGGGTAATTTATGCCAAATGTAAATCTTAACAAGTTTGGGTTGTTGGTAACCAAAACCTAAAATGCAACTTTATAGATTATGCCTTCGCAGAATTGATGCATTGAAATATTAGAAATTTATACTATACTTTGATACAGTACCTTTAAATTGATTAAGAAAATGGATGAAATTACTTGTCAATCCAGTTTGTATTCTAACGTGATGAATTCTGTATAATTCTAATTAAAAGTTACAAGCATGTTAAAAATAACAAAAGGTCAAAAAAGTAATTGATCTCATTTTTTACAAATAGCCAAAACTGGCTAAGTGATGATATGTGATTAACTCTTTGCTTAGTATTTTCCCAAATTATGTCAAACTTACACAGGCAAAGTTCTTATTTTTTTGGTGTGGATTCAAAATTCTAGTGTCATAGCGAAAGAGATTATTAAAAACCTATTTCTCCTAGGACTGCTTCTTCTGGAAAACTGATGGAAGGCCCTACAGTTGCTTTCAAACAAATGAACAAAAAGTTGGGAATCTTATCTGGTTTCTCCTTTGACAACTGAATATTGCTTAAATTTAGCAATTTGAATTGGTAAATCTTGTCATCATTCCAAGCAGCGTTATCACAGCAGGAAATTTACCACATTGTTTACCTACAACTAAGGAAACATATGCAATTATTTATTATACAACTTATATCTATGCAGGTTTTTTTAAAAAAAAATCTTTATATATGGCTTCAAAATATCTACAGTATCTAGTAAAAGAAACCTAGTTAAACAGAATTCAGATTAGGGTTTCTCTTTTTTTTTCATCCTCAGATTTTCTTCTATCCATCATTTCATCTTCAATAATATTGTTTCACATAATTTGAATATGATTTAGTTTAGTTTCTAGTACCGTAACAAAAAAGTGTTTCTTGTAGTTTTTAGCTCCAGTTCAAAATAAATACTGGAATAGTCCAAATATTCACAGCTATTCAAGCCCAACCATAAGCAGTGGTTGCAATTTACGCTGATTTTCGTAACATCCATGGGTCTCTACCTCCTAACCAGAAGTTGTTTTGCCACAAATCCTATCAATAAAAACAGCTATCAAGTTCCAAGATCCTAAAGTAAACCTTGATGTATGTGGAGCCAGGGAAAGTATGAGGTACAATGTTGCTCAGCTGTATGAGCTACAACCCTGTAGCATTTTGTTGTAAAATAAATCATGTTTTTACTTTTTGCATTTATTTTATGTAACCAAGGTATTGATATTTTAATCTAAAACATTTAATAGATGGATTTATATGTATACTAAAAAGCAATAGATATATTTGATAACACACCTTTTAAATAAATTGTTCTTTCCAGCAGTTATCCTTACTCCCTTTCTGATAAGATTATCTGATTCATCAATGTTATAGCTACAGCTCCAATCCTATGTCTGCTTTCTTAAAACTCATTACTACATAAAACTGTAATCCTAAACATAAGAAAGCAAGACTATATAAATATAGTGTCAATTATTTCTGAGAAAATATCTGCAAGATTGTACTCTTAGCATAATCAATGCAGATTATGGAAGCAAACTGTATTTAATTAGCTTTTTTCTGGATATGCTGAGGATTATAGCCTTACAATGAAGTGATATCTATTCAAGAGATCATAAAATTATCTTTGAAAGAAATCTACCATAGTGCATTTTTAAGATACAGCCCAGTCTTAAGACAAGTTGGGTTCTAGTTAATAAAGGATTGTTTCAACATGCCATTCTTTTTTGTTGATTTTTGGGAACAAGAACCATCATGCTTTTAAAAAGGCATTTGGAACTGTCACAGGTTCGTGCCCTATATTTATAATGGTGATTAAACCATCCTAAGGTTTTATGAAGTTTTATTTGCTACTATTATACAGAACTTTAAAAAGAATTTTCTCTTTTTGTTCTGTGCTAAAGTGAAAAAATCCTTTAAAAATAGCACAAAAGAAAAGTTTTTATAAAGACAACTTCCTATTTTTTTTTAAAAAAAAAAAGATCACTAGGCTAGTTAACAAACTTTACCTCCAAATGACTTCATATATGAGGTGTATAACTAATTATCTATGCCATAAGTTGCACTATATTTTTCAAACCAACTTTGTCACCAAAGTAACACATATTTTGAAGAAGAAAAAGGGAGATGTATTGGTGGCTTGGAACTTTAGACTAAAATATACGTAGATTCAAAACTGCATAGGGAATACGGTGAAAAGGTTTTCACTCAATGAAAAAGCAATCGAACACACTCCAACTATTAAGAAGGAAAAGAAACTAAAAGTCATAATTTTCATTCTCCTGCTCATGAGCTTACATGGTTAGCAACATGCTGCTTCTGATATTCATGGACAAAAAGTAAGATGCTATACAAATTGTAGAATTTTCTTCATTTAAAGAAATTTATTATACTGCAAGATGTTTATTAGAAATGTCTTGGCTTCATTCAAAGAACACACTACTATTCACAATATCAGATGACACTTTAAGAAGCAAGTTTAATTAGCAGAAATAAACAACTTTCTGTATAAAGTCATCACTGATCCCAATTATATATTTATCACCTTCAGTGTATTTTTATTTTGCACATTAAGAAATCAGGAAGAGTCCTCATATTTCAGATTCATAAGTTTTCATGCCTAAATTCATAACTATCTAGCATTTTGAAAAGCATCAGATGTTTCACAACCTTACTAAATGCCTAAGACTTCGTATGAGAGCTTTTATGAATAATTTCTATGTAATATGCTTTGCCTGGTTATCAAGTCCTTGCTCATTAAGATGATTTACCTTAATGTAATTTAGTAGACTCCTCTACACAAATCCAAAATATATAAGATTTCATAACTGTGATGAGAACCTGCCTTTAGATTACTTCAACAAGGCATTCAGTCCACAATGATATCACTAAGTTCTCTTTTTCTGCTTCTGAATCGAGATTAAGATCCTTAACGCAAACAGTATCACAGCTCCATATTTGTTTCAGTGCATCCATGTGAGAAAGAGGAAATCGTAATCCATGTGCCTTCTTAAAGAAGAAAAATGCTTGTTAAAAAAAATCAAGTAAAATTAAACATTAGTTACATATAAATTTACAGAACATATCAATATGTGCTCTGACCTAATAATAACTCTATACACAATTGTTAGTATAACTAGTGTTTCAATTGGCTAAGGCTCATGCTGGTTATAATTATTGTAGGAACCCAAGTGTCATGTATCAAGATGTTCCACAAAATTTATAAAACTATAGTAGAAGAGAACTATATGATATATGTGTTGTCCATACAAAGTACATTAAACCACAATTTTCTAAGTAACAGTTTGAAGACAGTGGAATCACAAACTGCATTAAGCCATAAATCAAGTTACAAAGACTACATCCATATAACATATCAAATCAAAATCAAACCACATTATGTTTAGGATACAGTATGCAATCATAGATCTAATTCTAGAAAACTCTTCCAAATGAAAAGAAAATGCATAACATACTTGCAGAATGGTAAGACAAAATGATATAATAGCATGTTTATGAGAATTTTTTTTCCTGGAGTTTGGAGGGGTTTTTTGTTTTGGTTTTTTGGTGTTTTAACAACCATTGAAGAGAAACTAAATTTCTTTCCCAACTGAAATTACTTACAGAAACTAATAATCTTCCCAACTTTATTCTTATAGTTTCATTTATTATATGTTTGCTCTTTATGCCAAAGAAGATTGGGTAGCATGTGGTGTTTTCCCATTTCAATTAAGAAAAAAAAATAGCATCCAAAGAAATGACTTATCAAGACTTCTGAAAATATTTCATTTGTGATCAGGAATTTGACAATAAAGTTTTCCAATCAAATGAAAACTGCTATAGTAAGCTAACCAGCATACGTTGATATACACATGTACATCAATGTATATACAAAACCATACTCCTAAATATTTGAGCCTGAAATAAGAGTTATTATTTCTAAAAAAGAAAGGGAACTTTCATATCCCATCAATTAACGGGACACCATCTTGTGTGCTTTTTTTGGTCATGGCACTCACCCTCTGGAACCTCCTGAGATTAGGTTGGTCCCAAGTTTGCTGGCCTTCCAAAAGCATTGAAAGCTTGGTTGTTTGACCAGACCTTAACAAGGCCAGGGTGATTTGTCATTGCTTTGTGGCTGCCATCTCTTTTTTAATCTTTGATTATATATAGTGCTTTACAGTTATTTTTATTCTTCCAATTATAAATTTTCTTTGTCTCCCAAAGTCACTCTGGCAAGAGGGATAGCCAAATAAATCAAAATATATAAATAAAGGTTAAGTATTCTTCCAGAGATCATGTATTCATACATAACATAAAGAAGGTGAATCTATGAACTACATTTATCTACAAAAAGGGCTGAAGAGGAATCCAAGCAATTTGAAAAATGAAGGAAAATGAACTATATGAAATTTGTAAAAAGACACATGTACAGTTAGTCCTTGACTTACAACCCATTCATTTAGTAACTGTTCAAAGTTACAATGGCATATAGACAAAAGTGACTTATAGCTGAAACTCACACAACCATCATAGCATCCCATGATCAAAATTCAGGTGCTTAGTAAAGGGCGTGTATTTATAACAGGTGCAGTATCCTGGGGTCGCACGATCACCATTTGCAACCTTACCAGCCATCTACTGACAAGCAGAGTCAATGGGGGAAGCTGGATTCATTTGACAACTCATTCACTTAACAATTGTAGTGATTTGCTTAACAACCATGGAATAAAAGGTCAAAAATTGGGCATGACTCACTTAATAAGCATTTTGCTTAGCAACAGAAATTTTGATCTGAATTGTGGTTATAAGTCGAGGACTATCTGTACTCCTGACAACTGCCGAGAAAATATAGGCAACAATGCCATTTGAGAAGAGATGTTTAGGATTTAAAAATAATAAAAAATGGACTGTAGCATTATTAGATCTGCTAAACAGAAATAAAACCAACCTCTGCTATTTCTTCTTCATTCATATTCTCATCCCCCATCATATGGATTTCCCTTTTATTCTTTAAGCAGTGATAAACAAAAACCATTTCTCTGACTGAATCGTTCTGAAAAATCATAAAAAATATGTTTTTATACATTAGCCAGCTAGTATACAATGTAAAGGCATTTTCATACAATTATTTCTTCTCTTCATGGCTGGGTGAATAACTAACTTTCATTTATTATTTGTGGTGATTCTTAATTATATTCAGTATTATTATTTTTTACAAATTTAATGAGATCTCTGACCTTATCTCAATTCATATTTCAACTTTACACAGTGTATAGCCTTTTAATATTCTTAAATGCTAGCATTTTCTATTTATGGAACAGAGCAACAGTATTACTATAATACAATTACACAGCTCAATTAGATGATCTTGGACATAACTATGCATGCGAAGCACAGCATGCTGACCATAGAGATGGCCTCATGGAAAAACATGTTTCCTGTCCTCCTCCTCTGTACTCACCAGAAGATCTTGTTCTAATTCTGTTGTAATTATTGTGTAGTCTTTAAACCTTAGCCTGATGGTGCTATCTACTTTTGGTAGAGTTCCATCTAAAAAAAAAAAAAAAGCATCCACATTATTTGAAAGAGAAATGCTATTAGGCAACATTAACTACTTGTCACACTCAAACTAAGAAAAGCAGCTGCAGTTACCACAAAGACCAATAATGGCTTCTTCAGGTGGTCTGCCTGGATGAGTAGTGGAGACTCAAGAGGCTACTAATGCAATTTTCCACAAATCTCCTTAATAAATATAAATTGAAGCATGGATTTTTTGTTAATGTAGTAACTGTGTTGTCTCGTTAAGTATGAATTCTTGCAAGCTACTTCCATGTGGTTGGTTTTTAAATATTTTATAATTATGATCACAATAAAAGTTGTCCCCTTATTTTTTGAAAATATATCCATAGGGAATTTAAATGTCACCTGGAGTGAGAAAATCAAAATCAGTTGCAATAAACGGAGGTAATCTGCTCGTAATAAAATCTTTTTTCATACAGGATGATCTCAGTTTCCTCCCATTATTCAAATGGCCTTCAAGGCGTTTCAGGAAGCTACTTAACTGCTTAGATGAATCAGATAAATCCAGATTCTAAACAAAAAGACAAGAATAACTTGCTAAAAACCTGAAATGAGAACTTAATTACTACAGAAGCCATACATGGAATGATAAAGGAGACTTGTGAATGCTTTATATTATTAACTGTTGTAGAACAAGAATCAGTTACATTCATCCAAGATCACATTTTTTTTAAAAAAAATGAAAATGTACATTTCATATTCAGTTTTAGATTATTTTTAAGTTTTAAATTTTTGTAAGAAATATATTTGGAACATAATTGTTCTATGATCCTACCATAAGCTGACAAAGCAGCATGAAAAATATCCCATTAGAAATATGGAGGACTCATTAACATACTGCTTTCACATTTTTAAGATTTTTTGCTAAGAGTCAAAGCTCACAGTTCTGACAAAAGTAGCATCATGGAACTCTTAGTGGTGATTAAAAGGAATACAATTGACATGGTGGCTACAAAATTTGCTTCTAGAAGCAGACAAACAAATTATTTTCTCTTTTAGCCTTGCAGCTTTACCATTAACAATTGCCTTGGAATGTTCTTTCGAAATTCAGCATCTTCTTTTGCTATATCTAAAAGAAGTCCAGGAACCATGTCCAGTAAGTAATCTCTCCAAGAGCTGGCATGCACAAAACAAATTAAAGTTATTAAGAACAAATAAGATATTAACAATCTACAGAAATGTTCCTTATTCAAGGTAAAATGTACATAAAACATAGTGGCCAAAATAGCAAAACTCAGAACTTCATATCAGACATTCAGATTTTCACAGAAGTCCCACTGACATCAGAATAAACTCAGTTTTACCAGTGTGCTTGGACTGTATCAGATAGCATGTTTGGAGATAGGATGATACCGAACCTATGGCTCCCAGCACTGTCTGTCCACCTCTACCTTGTACTCAAGGTCTTGAGCACCTTCGTGTCATTTAGATTCCTGATTTTAGTTTTCCATGAAATGAGTGCTTTGTGCATGTCCAACTCCCTGCCACTATTTTATGACACCTCTCATGGCAGTTTCTCAGATTCAAAGTATTGTAAATGGTTCTAAAATGTTAAAACATCCTTGTGGTTTTCTTAAAGGTTGTCTCCTTCCATAAGAGGCAGACTGCAGAACTTTCTATTAATTTGCAATTTCAAAGAGACCTTTAAGGGGACCCCAAATAGAAAGCAGTGAAGTGCTCAAAATCCCAGTAAAAAATAATTTTTCAATGTACATAAACATGAAAAGGAAAGGCTCAAGGAAAAAAACCAAGTTAATAAATGTTCTAAAGTGTTCTTGCCTATACTACATGTCTGATGTCTCCCATAGATTTTCTGAAATATTCAATCTGAGGGACTATGAAGTCCATTCCAAAAGTTACTTCATCAATAACTTGGAGGTACTTTTCAGGCTGTAATCTTACTGAAACATCCAATCACTTTTCAGGTTCCATTTCTTCAGTGACCATGGGACACTAATTTCTAGGATACACTGATGCTCAACTGAATCCATTTTTCCTACCACCTGTACGGTACAGTATTTCCTGTGCTGCTGGGTACTACACAAACCCAAACATAATAGAGCAATCTCTGCACATAATAGCAAAACTTACTAAGTTTTGTTTTTAACCCTTTTCTGGTATGACTACAGTATCAAGATGCCAACAACTGTTTATTTTCAGTAAAATCATCAACCAAATTATACTAGAAATATAATGCAAGATGCTTACTTGTTCTGATACGTGCTAATGGTAATATGAGTAGAATGAGATATCCCAAGAGGAGTGTCAGCTTGATGAATTGTTCCTCTTGGAAAATATAATATATCTCCTGGCTGAAAGGAAATGCAAACATGGTAGTTATAATAGGAACTGTAAGTGCTGATGTCTAAGTTGCTATGTTTGCCTACCTACTGTCAATAACAAAACAGTGAATATATATTTTTGTCATGATATAAGCTCTCATTTCATGCAGAGCTATATTGGAATAAAAGCAGATTTCAAATTCTACATCTTAACTAGACTGGACATACAGAATAGATTCCTTTTCCTTTTTTACATGCTTTTTCAATTTATGTTTGAAATTAGAAAATCCTCTGAGCAGATGTGGCAGACAAAGAAAAAAGAACAGTAATGGGATATGTTGTATAAATGTATTTTGAAAACATTAAGTCTATCCTCTTTTTTATGGCTTAGGAATAAAAACAGAGATTTTGCATATGCTACCTTTAATATAAAATCATGAGTTGGAGTTCCAATTCTCTCTTCAGGTTCAGCATTGTATTCTTGAGCTAGAGGTACAGTTGGACGGTAGAGTCGCCAGTGTTTCTCTCCTTCAAGTTGTAAGATAAACACCTACGAGTGCCATAAATCAAGACGCATCAAAACACCCTACAGTACATTGTACCTTTACCTATTCTTTCTAAAGCAGTGATGGCAAAACTATGGCACAGGTGCCAGAGGCGACACTCGGAGCCCTCTCTGTGGGCACAAGTGCTGTTGCCCCAGCCTTGCTTCCCCCCCCGTGACCCCCTCACCAGCAGCCCTTCTGGAAAAGAGTTGCTCCCGAGTGTGGCCCACGTAGAACAGTGCAGCCAAGGACATGGCAGCCAGGCAGACTCTGCCCTCATGCCCCATCGCGCAGTTGATGCTGCGGGGCGTGGGCAGAGGGCGTGTCTGCCATGGCGCTGCTGGGTGATCTGTGACAGACCCTGGACACGGTGAATGGCCCTGAGGGCAGGTGGGGTGGGGGAAGAGCAGGGGCAGGGCAGGGGGTGGAGCAGGGGCGGGGCCAGTTTTGGCCACTCGGTCTCTAAAAGGTTCGCCATCACTGTTCTAAATACACATTTATGGCAGCCAAATTCCACATAGACAAACAAGTTTTAACAGAGACAGCAAGAATTTTTCATTTAAAGCAAAATGTGCTTGTAGACATACGCTCAGCATCCAATCATGAAGATTATCTAATTTATTACAATACAACTTCCATATTTTTAAGTCCATAGCGTATGTGACAACTCCCCTAAAATTTCTGTTCTTGAAAATATCTGTGAGCAGAAAATTTACAGGCAAATAAGGGTTTCTTTACCTCAACATCATCATAGTGTGGAGGTAGGCCTTGAGATCCAGGAGGAGTAATGTAAACGTTAGATCCAACCAATGAGCCAAAGTAACATTCCAGTTTTTCTTGTATCCTCCAGAGCAAATCCTTATTTTAATACAAAAGAAATAACTTTAACAATGGAAAAGCAACTATCTTTTGTCATACAAATCTGTACTGATATCAGTGTTGCACTGTACTATTCCAAATATGGTAAGATCTGCATAAGACAAAAATTGTGTATTACTCAGGAGAAGGGAGCCTAAATAAAGCTCACCAATACCTGTATTAACTGAGGCAAATCAATGTTCAAACAAGCAAAAACTAAAGCAAAAATAGTAAACTTTATCTTCTTTAGCAAACTTCTATGTAGGTCATTTTCAGGACCTTGGCAATACAAATCTCTTCTGACATTTAAATGTACCCTGCCAAGACCTGGTTTAATCTAACTCCATTTGGCTAGAAAGCAAATGAGGAACAGCAAGTGAGAATGATTTAAAGAAAGGAAAGTCCTAATACAATTATGTTATCCTCATCATTATGAGGCTACTAAGAAGCCTCAGCATATGGAAATATCAGCATATTTGAGGAAAACCTAAGATCTGTGTATGACAAGGTTACTGGTGAGAAAAGGTTGAGCAGCAAATAATTCCAACAAAATTAGATAATAGCTATAGATTGATGAGTTGGCTTGAAACTCAACATTAAGAAAACCAAAATCATGGCATCCGCCTCTCTCAATTCCTGGCAAATAGATGGGGAAGAAATGGAGGTAGTGACAGATTTTATTTTTCTGGGCTCCAAGATCACCTTAGATGGGGACTGCAGCCAAGAAATTAAAAGACGCTTGCTCCTGGGGAGGAAAGCTATGGCAAATCTAGACAGCATACTAAAAAGCAGAGACATCTCTCTGCCAACAAAAGTGCGTATAGTCCAGGCCATGGTTTTTCCAGTTGCAATGTATGGCTGTGAAAGTTGGACCATAAGAAAGGCTGAGCGCAAAAGAATTGAGGCCTTTGAACTATGGTGCTGGAGAAGACTCCTGCGAGTCCCTTGGACTGCAAGGCGTTCAAACCGGTCAGTCCTAGAAGAGATCAACCCCGACTGCTCTTTAGAAGGCCAGATCCTGAAGTTGATACTCAAATACTTTGGCCACCTAATGAGAAGGAAGGACTCACTGGAAAAGGGCCTAATGCTGGGAAAGATTGAGGGCAATAGAAGAAGGGGACGACAGAGAATGAGATGGCTGGATGGAGTCACTGAAGCAGTAGGTGTGAACTTAAATGGACTCTAGAAGATGGTAGAGGACAGGAAGACCTGGAGGAATGTTGTCCATGGGGTCGTGATGGGTCGGACACGACTTCGCAATTAACAACAACAATAGATTGATGAATGCCTTTGGAATAGGAAGGAAAAATGTAACTGGCTGGGCACAATGGAGAGGATCACTCCACATCATGTTGCACGGTGGATCCCAAGGATTGAAACAATGATAGCATAGCTACTTCAGCTCTACTAGAAATGAATTAAGGCTTTATACAGAGGCTATAATTTTGAACATGTATTTAAGCAATCCTAAAATTCAAATAGGTTCTCATTCATAAAAAGTATTCCTTCATGAAGCTTCCCTGCATTCACACAAACCCATGGCCATTTTCCCTCAGTCTTCCTGTGCTCACAGCCACCGGTGGCCTCTCTGCACTTGTTGCAGCACTATGATCTCCTTCCCCCTACCTCTCTGGACTTGCACGGGCCCATGGTCTCTTTCCCCTTGCCATAACTCCCATAATGGGTCTCCTCCCAAGGATTCTCCCACCACCCATGGCACCCTCATGCTCCTTCCCTAGGATTCCTGCTGCTTAACAATCCATGTGTCTTGGGGTTATGATGGCAACTAGAACTGCTGGGATTGTTGTCATTACATGATAAATTCATGTAATGTTGCACTTTACATTACTTAGAAACAGCTATCCGGGTCCCCTTTGATATCATAACCCAAGGACTACCTGTAATGTGAAATGATAGTCTCAGCAATACATATAAACAGTAACTATGTAGCAGCCCAAAGTTACCTTGAGGTAAGATGGCGGGCTATAAATTGTATAAATAAATAAATAAATAAATAAATGTATTTAAAACAAAAAAATACAAAATGGTTCTCAACCTTTGGGTCGGGACCCCATTTTGGGTCGAATGACCATTTCACGGGGGTCGCCAGACAAGGCTGTCCGCCATTTTTTCCCCCTTTTCTTTGGCCACGCCCCTGGCATCCAGTGATGTATAAGTGGTTGGGGGTCACCACAACATGGGGAACTGTATTATGGGGTCGCGGCATTAGAAAGGTTGAGAACCACTGAAATAGAAAAACTAAAAAATACAAAACAGAAAAACTAAAAACTAGAAAATAGAAAAACAAAAAAATACAAAACAGAAAAAATACAAAATACAAACCAGAAAAAGTAAAAACTAATGATAAATAGAAAAATTAAGTAATCTGTGGGGGGGGGGGGGTTCAGTATAAAAATATTAACCTGAAGCAAAGAGCGGGCATACACCATGCAATGGTTTTCTTCCTAAATTCATTAGTTCTGAGTCAAAGTTGAGAAGTGCAAAAGCAGCCACAAAATGCAAACAATTGTTCTTTATTTACCTTAAATCTCTGTGGCTGGTGAAATTGTATTGTAGCCTTTTTCTGATCAAAATGTTTCTTCAGTTGTGCATAAGTTACTTTTCCATCTTTATTAAAAATAAGTTTTTTGCCATTCATACATCTACATATATTGATGTCTTTTCCATAGTACAAACCTAGTTTGACTAGGTCTTTCAAGTCAGTTAACTGAAAGAGAGACTGATAATATGAGGCCACAGAGGAGTCATCTCTCTGAAGCAACAGTGGCTTCTGTTCCCAATATTCTCTAAAAAATTCATCCTCTTTGATAGGAGCAATCAAACTCTCAAATAAGCTCTCTGGACTGTCATATTTCCAAAGCAAAGGACCAACTGCTTCTGTTTTTGCTTGCTTGCTTGGCAAATCTGGTCCCTTCTCTATTCTAGCTCGTCTTCCTCCTTTCTTGGGCATGACGCTATACAAGAAAAAAAGAAATAAACACCTGATTTTATACACATTTCAACAAATTTAATTTCCCACGTAGATAGGATGACATAGCATGATGTACTGAAACCAGTGGATTTTATTTCTATGCAAAGTTGCTTAGGATCAGTAAGAATAGCCGGCACTACTAGATTCAATTTCAAGCAGTTAGGTTCTGTTCAACTTTTTTGGGGGGCTTTATATCTTGTTCTTTTAATGTAACTACCAAAGAGGCTTATAACATTTAAACCCTAATTATGAAATTTAGAACATAGTATCAACATCTGTAAAACCAGTTAGTCCTCCCAAGAAATCTTAAGTTTTATTCACATAGGATCACTCACACCAATTCACTTATCGCCAGAAATCCCAATATTGCAAATTTGAGAACCCCGCAACTAATCTAAAAGTATGTCACTATCCAAGGTATTAACAGAGGTGATGACAGGTCACTGTATGAAACATACTTCTTTGGAAAGATTCTCCACAGAGAAAAAAAGCTTGCAGAATAATATGTATTAATTTTTATCACCATCATTATCATTATTACACTGCTCCTACCAGTAAAGGAAGTGCATAGAAACATTTTTTAAAAAATGCAGAAAACATCACAAAATACAATCACAGAGAACAAATCTTTCAAGCATAAAAGCACACAAAAGAAGAAACAGGGCAGTAACATAAAGCTTCAAAAGCCCAGGTGAGTAAAATCACTGAGAGCTTTGAGAAAGGGTCAGGGACACCTAGCACACAGTTCTTTCACTTACCCAGTGGATAGGACCTTCAACAGGTTCTCTCAAGATTACCTAAAGGGTCAGCAAAATCATTCTGGGAGAAATGGTCCTTGACACAGCACAAAGCCATGTTATAAAGGGCTTTATAAGTAATAACCAGTATTTTTCATTTAGCCTACAAGTCTACCTATACAGAAATCAAAGAACTGGAATGTGTGTATAATTATATGTAGTCAGTCCTTTTCAGGCTTCTAACAAGGGGATAAAATAGCTGAACCTCTCTGTTTAATCTCAGGAGGAAGGCAGAATACATCAACATAACTCTGTATTAACAGTATCTGGAATGGCAATCCTGGGGTGTTAACTTTAACAATTTTTGATTGGGAGCCACCCATAGTTATAAGATGGGAAGCTATATAAATATTTTACATAAATAGATGAATCTTTTTCCTTATTGCAAGGTCTAGAAAATAACAAAGAAATATAAACTCGGTGATTGTTCATTATTTACAAGTTCCCTGTATTTGTCAGTTTCAACCATTCTTCTCACAAATCCCTCTGAAAAATATGTGGTTCCCAACAGCTATACAGCTTCTATAGTCCCAGTATACAGGTCCTTATTAGTTGCATAATCATGGCAGAGGTTGTATCTTTCCCCCTGGGCTTTTGCTGCCCTCTTTTCCAATCTGTTTATTTCACAGTAGAAGATGCCATATGGAATGCAGGATGAGAACTCCAGATGGCTGATGATATGCTGTAGGGATCCAGAAAACCAATTATGGCACTTGTACAGATCAGAAAATCACTATTTGCCAATAAATCACAGAGGTAACAGAAACAGAGCAGTTTGGCAATTGGGATCAAATTCCATTGTTGCTTTATGATGGTTCAAAAAGTGGCTATGGCTTTAATCCAGTAGTAAAGTAAGACAGACTCACTGCAGCTACATCCAGTCTACATAAAACTAAGTGTTATTTTCATTAATACTTAAATCCAGTCTCTTCTCCATGAGTTTGTGACAAGCATGCTGTCTTGACTGAAAGTTGAACAAGTTTGTTCATCAGAAAAGAAAGTATACACACACAGACCCCTTTATGGGATTAAGAAAAAAAATGTTGATACCATTTCAAAATAGCATATAGGTCAAGCAAGATGATCAATAGGGGGTGGGAAGAGAGAGGGGAAAGTGGCTGTTTACCTATGGCTTTCTCCTCCCCCCCCCTTGTTGATCATCTTACCTGATCTGCATGCTATTTTGAAATGGTATCAGAACATTTTTTTTCTTATCCCCATAAAGGGGTGCGGCGGTGGCTGAGGGTGTGTATATACTTTCTGTTCCATTTTCAATCAAGACAGCATGCTTGTCACAAATTCATGGAGAAGAGACTGGATTTGAGTATTAACGAAAAAAAACACCTAGGCTTATTCTTGTACCATAATCACAGCAATGGTGTTGCTTTATTGGAAATCTACACCCAAAAGACGAGGGGGGGGAGGTGGATACTACAGTCTGGAAGATCCTTACTGGGAGCAACACGTCCTCATATCCTAGGCTCCAATACTCCTAATATCTGCAAAGGGCCAAACCCCCAGAGCAGACTTCATTCTGCACAGGTCCCTTTCGTTCCTCTTCCTCCGAATCAGCAAAAGGTATGTTTTCCTTCCTGTAATACAGTGTTTCTCAACCTTGACAATTTTAAGGCATGTGGACTTCAACTTCAGCAATGCTGGCTGTGGAATTCTGGGAGTTGAAGTCCACATGCCTTAAAATTGTCAAGGTTGAGAAACACTGCTATAATATGTACCGACGTTTACCAGGAAGAACAGATTTCCATGTCGGTTGGCAGGCCGCTTCCCGTCCCCAATTTGGATGGCAAGCTACGTAGCTTCCCAACTCCTTCAAAAACACGGGCGTTCCGGGAAGCTCCAAACATGGCCATTTCAAGAGCAAGGCTTGAACTGGTAAAGAAGCGCGGAAGGCCCTTGCAGAAAATATCGCTCGATCCGACAGCAAGGTCTGGCAGCATTTGCCGGGGGAAAGGACAGAAGGGACTTGGACCCACACAAGCGGCTATGGGCGAAGAAGCACCAAGCCTCCCTTTCGGGAAGCGGGCAAAAATAACAGCTTCCGCTTCTGATCCCTTCACGCGCACTTCGTACCGACCTGACCTGCTTAGCATTCGGCTCTGGAAGGGCGCCGGCAAAGCCACGTGGACTGCAGCACTACCAAAGGCCGCAGCTCGGAAGGAGGAGGCGTGGACGCGCCCTCCCCTACTTGAACCGGACTCGTTGCTTTTACCCGCCTATCAAATGGACCAGGCGGGGCGATAGCTTTCCTGACAAATGATAGGAGAGCGACGCCTTCGCGGTCTTCTGTAGCATCGAGAGCTTAGTCGCCTTCAGAAGTGCAACGGCTGGAATGTCTTTTTGTCTTTCGCCACGCCCTCTTTGGCTTAGAGAACCTGCGCGGGTGGAATTTCTTCCTTTTAAAACCCGAAGTAGATCTGTCCTTCGCTCTTCTGGACTTAGTCAGTATTGGATGGAACCACCAGCTTGTCAGTAGTGGAAAAATATCCCGGAAAAAACAATGGCAATTCATTTTTCCGTGGTTGGCTAGGGAAAAAAAAAAAGATGCTCTCTTCAAGAAGATACTCAGATTTAGGATGAAATTCCCCCCCCTCCCGAGACTTTATTTTTTAGCCCTTTGCAAAGGGTTTTTGCAAATACATTTTTTTAGAAAAAAAACTTATTTTAAATATATTCTCTTTTTGCCATTTGTCTGAAATGGTATGGATTTTCCTGCTTGAGCAGGAGGTTGGACTAGAAGACCTCGAAGGTCTCATCAAAATTCTGTTATTCTGTTATTCTACTACATCCTAGCCAGGTTGTTCTCTGTCTCATCTGTATAGTCCCAGATAATGCAGAAAACTAAGATTTCAGTATCTTAAAGGCTAAGGAATTAATTCAGTGTAGTTTAAGAGTTCAGAAACTAAATTTAGCTTCTTTCTACAGCTAACCGTGGTCCTAGCCCAGAAGGATTACCAGAAGAGAGAATATAGAAATTAATGTGAAATCTAAAACATTTATTACAAGCGTTGAAAACATTAAAACTGTTAATAGTTTGATTTGCAAGATTAAAAACTGGATATTTATTAATTATTTAATCAAAATATAAAGCCACCCAACTGATAAATTACAATTCTGGGCAGCTAATGTAGGATTAAAAAGAGAAACAAAACCAACATAAGAAAAACAGCACAAAAGAAAACAAGGGCAGCCCCAGATCAGTTCAATTTCAGTCCAGACTCATCCATTATTCTGGCCTAATACCAGGAGAAAAACCAGGTTTTCCAGGACTTATGGAAGGTCAACAGGGTTAAGGTCATCCAAATCTTGAATGTGCTGTTCCATAAGGCAGGCATCACAACAGAAAAGGGACACCAGAGTTTTAGTAAGTGATGCTATTTATATTATGCCTTCTTATAGAGTTGTTATGTACATTTAAAATGTGCGGATTAAAAAACACTTCCTCATCAAACACTACATAATACTCTTCATTAAAATGTAACTGCTTAATTTGGTGTGCTGTATGAATCAGCTACTATGGTTAGTTTACGATTTAATGTTTTACTGAAGTGCAGATAATTGAGCTAATTCCAGCAAATTGTGGTTTAATTAATTGAGGTAGCATATTTTATGGATAAAGCCACAATCATTGTGCTGTTGTGATTTGTTCTGTGATTGATAGATTCATAAAATGTACACAATAGCACTCACTTTTCAACACAGGCGTAAGGCAATCTAGAACAGTGGTCCCCAACCCCGGTCCATAGACCAGTACCTGGCTGCAGCATACCAGCAACCAGGTCTGCACAAACAAGCAAAACCCCATCCGCAGGATGCTAGCAGCAGACAAAACCAGTCCGGTCCGCAGAAAAACCTCTCTCCACGTAACTGGTCCCTGATGCTCCAAAAGTTGGGGATCTCTGATCTAGAAAACATCAAAATCACATTAATATTGTAACACTACCCACAACATCCATTGTTTGCCAGCAGTATCTGGGTTTCAACGCCTATTCTATTCAAATGAAGTATGATTTGAGAACATGATAATGGGGATTAACCAAAATCCCTTCCTTTCTCCTAAGGATAAAAGCTGTCATTTTAAGACAAAGGCAAAAGTTGAGAATCAAAACAAGAGAAAGCAACTTGTTACATCTTCCCAACTATCAACTAGTTAGCCTTCCCAGAAGAGGCTGATATCTGTAACACTACAGAGCAAGGAGATAGTGTTGTTGCCTTTTTCTTTCTTTAATTGGTCAAAAAGTTATACAGAATGTAAAAGCCTATCCCACATACCAGAGTTTGGAGGAGGGTGCCAGGTGAAATCCACCCTAGAAGAAAGATGGTGGCAGCAAGAACTACTAAGTGCCCATCAAAACAGGAGTTGTAGCATGATATGTAGACCTAGAGGTCCTCTGTGCTAGCGTTAGCCTGGTGATGCTAAGGCTAGCTTTAGCTTGAAAAACAAAACCAAGTGGGGTTTTTTTCTTGCTGTCACTAGCCATAGCTCCTCCAGCATTAGCTATGCTGGCATAATGCAGGCTAGCTTTAGCAAGGAAAAGAAAACCGAGAGATTTGCCAGTGTTATTTTTCACTCAGAAAAAGATGGTCACTTGTGAGATTGTGCCACATGATCCAGCAACAGAGCAGCCTGTCCTCCTTTCCTACCCAGACCTCCTGAGCTCTTGAGATCTTTGAATGGTTAGTGACAAGAGATGGGGAGGAGGCCCACGTGGCTATAGGGGCTCTAAGGAAAAAGAATGGGAGCATGGGGTATTTTAGGGCCTGGGCTGAGGCCTTGGGAGCCCGAAGCAGGTAGCCTTGTGTCTGCATTAAGCCCCCAGGGTCTCCCCCACCTTTCAGGCACCCCATGTTCCACTTAACCCAAGATACACAAGAGGTGACACTCACTCTAACTTAAAGCCTCAGAGGAAAAGCCAGGTTTTCAAAACTGTTTTAAACATAGCTAGATTACGGTCTAGATCAGGGGTAGGCAACCTTGGCTCTTTTATGACTCGTGGACTTCAACTCCCAGAATTCCTGAGCCAGCCATGCTGAGGGGAAAGGGAGAATTTCCAAGCTGAGGCAGCTGACTCAGGAATTCTGTGAGTTGAAGTCCACAAGTCATAAAAGAGCCAAGGTTGCCTACCTCTGGTCTAGATCACGGTTGTGCAACCTTTTGGCTGGCCTGGGCCGCCATGAGTGAAGAGGAATTGTCTTGGGTCGCATATAAAATATATAGTTAAGGTATATTAATAACGAACTTTATTTTTTATATTTTTTATTATCTTGGGGGACTGCATTACAAACTGCCCAGAGTCACAGATGTGACTACTGGACACATCTGGTCTAGATGTATCTTAAGAGGATTGATTTTCTAGTGTGCAAATGCTGTGATAGGGAAGACACAAGGTGTGTTCTTATTTCATTTTTTTAGTATAACTTTTTGTTAAAGGTTTTTTTACATAGCTAAAAGACAATACAGAAGTGAATAAAAAGTATAGAAAAAAATAAAAAAGAATTAAATAAATTATTTTCGCCCTTTTTACAATTCCAAACTCATTTACCCTCCTCCTTTCTTAACATTACAATAATTTCTTCAACTCCTCATTCAAATTTTTCTTTAATCATCTAATATAGGAATCACCATTTCACTTTTTTATATTTTCAGCTAACACTTCATAAAAAGTTTTTAGTCTTTCATAAAATAACTTAGTGTTTTGTCCCTAACCAAGCAAGTCAGTTTTGTCAGCTCTGCTAGTTCTGCTATCTTTAGAATCCATTCTTCCATTTCAATATTTCAGTGTTTCTCCATCTTTGTGCATATAATAATCTTACTTTAAGCATATATAACACAGTTTTCCATAAGTCTTTTCTAATTTTACTATTCTTCAGTGCCAATGAAGAGTCCTCATTTACTCTCAATATTCATCTTCAAAATTCTTTGTATCATCAGATATGATACCTATTCAATATTTTTTGCTTTTTCATAAGCCTACCAAGTTTTTATTTTTTAATATTGAGTAGAAATGCCTTTATACATATTAGACAAGTGTGTTCTTGTTTTAAGGTAGTTTTTATTTTAATCTACTATCAAAATATAATTTTCATATTTTAATCAAAAATATTTCTACACTGAAAAGTATACTGAAAAATTAAATATTAATTAAAACTGCATCCTACAAATCAGTTTCTCTGAAATTTTATTGCAATGAATGGAGATACTCCAATGTTTCTGGAGCTATCAAGAATAAATAGGAAATTATGGTTTGAGCAAGTATGTTTTAAAATATGAATTATTAATGTGGTATAGCATTTTAAATAATAAATGTAGTATTACATGCTCTTTCATGGATTAAACTTTGCTTCATTAGATGCATAAGGATCCCCAACTAGCCTTGAAAGCATGGTATTCAAAAGTGTTCTTGAAACATCTTCACAATTGTTCAAAAGTATACAAGCAAAAAGCCATGCTTAATATATGAGATATACCTTATATATAATCCTTGCAATCATCCTTTATATTTTTCAGTTTTGAAACAAATGACTACCACCTCCTTAAAAGTTATGGTTTAATTAAAAGCCTCAAGAATTTGTGTACTTGTAGTATATAAATATAAAGGGAGATTATACACATCTGGGAGCCGAATTAGTCCATGCGTGTATATGTATATATGTTAATTCTCTTGAAGTATTAATGACAAGTGGAAATACTTTGGAACAAAAAACAGAAGAACAAATATTAAACAACCCATTTCTTCATGTTTTCATTTCCTCCTTTAAAATCTCTTACTGATGTTAATCCAAACACAAATAAATACAACCCATATATAATTTGTGTGCAATGCCATGTGAATTTATCTGAGAATATGGTATCATCATCATCTTGTCTGATTTGGCTAACAAGACTTCCTCCACAATAATACAAAAACTGAATATCAGGTCTTCTGAAATACATTGTTTGTAGAATTCCTTGAAAGAAATTCAGAGACGAGGTTCGGAGTAGTAGAATAAAGTTTCTTTTATTATCAAAGTTGAGTTTAGTAAAAGGAAACGGTTTGCAAAGCGTGGTGGAACTCAGCCATGCACTCACAGGAGTTACAGGGAAGAGCCACACCTCCTACAGAAGCGTAACAGCAGTTATACCCCTCCCTATCTCCTCCTATACCTACGTCAGCTATTCCTGACGTGGCAGGTCACAAACCTATCAGACGACACAATTATCCTACCTTACCTCCTACC